GCATCGTTAAGTTGTCTATTGCCTTCCTGTAAGTAATCGCTGGTGTTAAAAATGACTATGGCGCCCCCCTTGTCGGCAGGTTTTATCACGATGTCGTCTCTCTCGCTAAGGCACCTGAGTGCCCTCCGCTCTAGAGCGGAAAGGTTGTAGTGGTTAGGCTGCTGTTTTCTAAATGCCGCTACGATGTCTTTCTGAACAGCATTAATAAAAAATGTCTAAATGCTTGTATCTGCCAGTTTTGGGAGTCCAACCAGTCGATGTGGATGGAAGAGCAGACGCGCCTTCGCGGGGCCTGTCGAAAAAGAACTCCTGAAGCCGAAGATTGCGGGCAAAATTGTCTAGGTCTTGAAGCAAAGGAAATTCATCATATCGGCCTGTTGTGGGGCAGAAGTTGAGTCCCCGCGAGAGGAGCGACGACTCGTCGGTGGACAGTTCTATGTTTGATAAGTTAACTATGTTAGTGGATTCGGGAACACAATTCTGCGCTTCTCGTTCGCACACTGTCCTCGGTGGATCCCGAGCTGGTAGTTCTACGTCTGATGAGCTAACTGCGTTATGGGATTCGGCCCTGCAGCTCCGCACGTTGCGTTCAAACACACCTGCCGGAGGAGGTCCAACATTGTCCCTTGTCAATTTGTTTTCCTTTACCTCACAGGGCATCCCCCGTTTTCACTCTTCCAACACTCTTAAAGCCACGGTTTCATGCTGTGCTAAATCACGATCGCGGAGTAAATTACGTTCGGCTTGTTTAACCGTGGTTGAGGCTGTTTCGCAATGTTCAATAGTTATCCTCACCAACTCGAGACTCGAGAGACGCGTTAGTGAGAACCGTATTCTAACTCTCCAGTTCACTCTGAGACAGCGCTGTCATGCCAGGCTTCAAGGTAATTTGTAAGCCCTTAGGGGCGATGCGCGCGTCAAGGTAATATTTAAGGTATGCGGCATGCAAATCATGGCGTACTCTTTTGTCATCTAATTTTCTAAGTTGTAAAAACGTCCGAGATAGCAAGTTGTCGCGGCCTGCGTGGGTCTCACTCAGTACAGGGGGAGCTCGTGATGTGTCCCGCGGTGGTCGTCAATCCCGCTGGGAACGGACAACGTCGCCGAACGTGCTCCGCAGGTTGTATCTGGGTAGAAGGGTAGGCCTAGGGATGCGATTCACTCGCCCCGCAGGGCGGGTCGCCAGGGCGGGACGTTTGGGGTTGTCCTCCGACGGCGGAGGGGTGGCGTTTGCCGAAGAGCCGCAGGCGAGTCCATGGTTCGACTGGGCGAAGCAGTCGGGGACGACCGCCGAGGACGGGAGCGCCGGGAACTCTGCGAGACCGCCGCCGAATCCTGGGTCCGGCAAGTCCGCCGGGACCGGGCACCGAAGGTGCAACGGTGCATGGGCAGAGTCGTCCGAAGGAGCGGCATCCCGCAAGGGGCGCTCCTTCGCGATTTTTAGCAATAGTGTTGTAATTTCCACTTGAATAACCATGAAAAGTATGAATCGGTCCGGAAATGATTACTAAACCGTAAATAAAACCGCATAATTGTTTTTCTCTTTGCTACGTTGGACGCAAAACGGGCAACGAGAAACTAAGGACAAACAAAATAAAGTAAAAAAAAAAGAACGCGGGAGACGTTTGGTTTTGTTTTCAGATGTCGGTGTCGTGTTTACTTTAGGAGAACGGTACTAGAAGGATTCTTCAAAATGGTAGTCATGCCAAATTTGTGGGCTGTAGATGGCGGTTCTAACGGTCGACTGAATACCAGTATTCGTTCGGGCGACGCTTGATTTCACGTGTGGTTCACTAATTGTGTTCTTTGACAACGAAAACAGAGGACGTCCGACTTTGGTGAAAACATAAAAGGTGCTGTTTATTTTCTCCTTCTTGAGGAGCGTCCCCCGCGGAGAAACCCGTTCCCGGAACGGCCGGCTCACTGCCGCTTTCCCCTCGGCATCTCCCCCGCGTCCCTGTCCTTCGGCAACGCGCCGCTCTCGTCTCGCCCGCGCGAATGTTGCTCACTGCTTCCCTGGTCGTAGCCTGCGGGCCGCTCGTTGCCGGCTGGACGGTCTCCGTCGGGTGATGGCGGAGGCCGCCACACACGTACTCCCTTTCCGTAGGTGTTAGGTGAGTGAACGGAAGCCCGAACTCACTCGCGAGAGCGGCATTGTCGTCCATGTTGACAGATCCGATGAAACGACCGCGCCACCGCGCTGCTACAACCCACCGCGGTAACCAGAGTCTCGATCTCCTAAATACTACCGATACTGACTATTCACACGTGATGTCACTCCCTACGTCAACTCCGTTTTCGGAGGCCCAGAAATGAGAATGGAGATAGTTCAGTTTCGGTTTCTTCAGTTCTTTCGTAGGCACAGAAATACGCGTCACAAATGTCTACAAAAAACTAGGCAGCGTGCTAGGCTCCCAAAAAACCTAAAAACATAATTTAAAAAATCGTCTTCAGTGTCCCTTTATACCACCTAAGACTGGGCCAAACAGTGGGGTGAGCGGAGGATGAGAAGAATCCTAGGTGGAAGAGAAAGGAGCAGAATGACAGAAGGCAACGTCTTATATATTTTTATTCTTTTTCTCGTCCACTTAATTTTTTAGTTCTCCCAGCAGTCTCAGGCGGTGAAGAAAATGGGAAAAACAAAAAAATGCTATCTCAGGTAAATAATAAAAAAAGAAAACTCGCACAAATACACACGCGTCAAGTAGCCTGCAGAGTCACCACAGGAGTAGGCGTTCTAATAAGGCCATACGATGCCCCTCATGGTGGGCCGCAGTAGCTCCAGTGTACCTTGGAAACGCCACACACGCCCCCTTTAGGCAACGCCAACGCTACTAGAACACTCAGTTGGGAAACTCGCCATCGAAACCTAGGCCGCTGGCGTCCACCGAGACCGAGCGAAATACGACAACAGCTCCACTCTTTATCATTTGTCTGTACTGTGGTCATATTGAGCTTTTAGAAAGCATGTTTTTGCGTAAAAGCAAACGGAAAAGACTCTTTTTGCATGAAATTTATTGGAGTTTAGTACCAAATGATGGGCGCATGATGTTTTTAAAATCTTTAGGTTTCAGGGTTTTGTGGCACAATTAATATTGTTTTTATACAACCATGCCTCACCGGTGCTTTTAGGTAGCGCGTCCCGACCTAGGTGCATTTTAACTTCGGTAGTAAGTCGCGGCGCGTCCGCTGGGGAGACGGGTGTGGCACCTCTGTAACCTCTTCCGCTGTATCTGTTTCGGCTCCACAATGGCCGATCAAAGCCAAAATAAAAGTAACGTACAGTTCCTCGAGTGGCCGCTGCGGGAGAAATGGCGGCGTTGTGTTCGTCATTAGCTCGGTTCTCGAGGACAGGTGGGGGCCACTTTTTCAGATTAGCCTCTATGGCTGTTTCCCAACTGAGTGTTTTAGCAACGTTGGGCAACGCTAACACTGACCCCGTAATGAGGCCAAGAACAGGCAGCACAAAATAGAGGAAGCAAAAGAAGATAGCCAAAAGAGAAACGTGAAGTGGTCAGCATTAGCGCTTCCCAAAGGGAGGTGCGTGTGGCGTTCCCAAGAGAAATTCTAAGATTCCACAAGAATTTATTACTGGATCTTCGAGTATTTTTTGTACGTAACTGGTTCAACCAATAAATTAAACACCCCCCCGAAAAAAAAAGGGTGTTATGACGTTGCACTTTTGCCGCTGTTTGATTGGATCCATCGAATGCGATCCGACTTAGAGCGCAATGGTGTACACATAAGGGAGTTTAGGAACAAACCCGTTACAATCTGTGAAAGACCCGGTGTTATTGGCGAGAGACATGTCGATATCCCCTTCTCGCTTGCGATGCTTCAATCGTTAAATCGCCGTTCTGCTTGAAAAAAAATTGTGAGAAGGCCGAAAACAGATAAAATTAAAAAAAAATCAAAGTGCAATGATTCTTGCAATTTTTTTCCCTTAGTTGGGGAAAAGAAAAACGCAATTTTTCTTTCTCCCAAACACCCAGTATCAGACTTGTACGTAGTTCAACTACTCTACTCAAGTTACTGTAGTTTAACTACTTTTCTGAGTAGTTTACTAACTTTCAATTACATTTTTATTTCGGTAATTAGGAGTTTACTTTAATTTGTTTTTCTGAGTAACTTCTACTCAAATTACAAATTACTTTCGAATTTTAGTGGTGTTTTGCCTACCAACAAACATTCCTGCACAAAAGAGATAAGGCGTGGGAAGATGAGCTGATATTCGCAAAGAGGGGAAAGCATGTGGCGTAGGAAAGGGGGGGGGGGGTTGGAAGAAAATAGGTTAGACATTCCGAAACCCACCAAAATGTTCCCAAATCCCCCCCCCCCCCCCCCCCCCTTCAACAACACTGCTACGAAGCGCGGGGAGCGAACAGGCACGACGCAAGAGAGGCCGAGTAACTGCGGGATTAGAGCCGAAGACTGACGTTTCTTTGAATCCCGACGTTCAAGGAGACTTGACCCATTCGAAGAAAGGGCTGGTTCCCGCTTCCTTCTAACGTAGAAACTCTCGCACGCTACAGGAGGTGCACACACTGCATCCCCACTCAAAGGAGGCAACAAAATGAACGAAATCCAGAACCTGCTCTGAAGCTCATCTGGTGCTCCCGTAGTTTGTGCTGTACTCGAATAATCACGCGATAAAGGGCAACGCCAAGGGGATATTTTGCGTTGCCTTTCCTCCCAAAACATAGAATATGCGGATCTTCAAAGATTTGAAGGTCGTTCGAGAAACCTTAGTTATTCCACCAACGTTTTTATATAAAACAATAATAAACAAACAGTGTACATGTCAGCCCAGTATATCTAAAAAGTGAGATGTAATTTAGTAACTTATTTAATTTATCTATATAGAAAACATATCCCCATACTGAATATTGCCAGATCAATAGCGCTCTACATGGTTCTAGAAATCTTGGAATCAGTCGAACTAAATCTCCGAGATTGCTGATAATTGTAAAGTAATACAATATTTTCGCAATAAAACTTACACTCCAGGTGTCCTGCTCTGACGATGGGATGTCTTTGAAACCAACAGGTACAGACACGTTTTGGCATACGCTTGCGTCGTCGAAGCTTGGGTCGTCTGATGCAGCGTTTACGATTAGCAATAAGCCTGTAAACAAATATCCTACTTTTTGCAGCATATTTTGACAAGTGGTCCGATGTAGTCTTGGGATTCCTTTGCGTAGGAGCAATCTAACTGTTAATTTTTCAATGGAAAGAGAAGGCGAGAGGCCGCAAGTCAGTTTACAGAGCGGATAAATTGCAGTTACGGCACTCAACACCTGTTTATATATTTAATTTCGAAAACCTCCAAAGCCCCTCCCGCCCCCCCCCCCCCCCCCCCAAAAAAAAAAAAAAAAAAATTGTGGTCGGAAATTTTAATTTGGTGTGGCGTATAGCTGGTTTGAACAACACAATTGAAACTATTCACAGCTCTACAGTTTAGATCTTTAGCGGCCTGTCATTCACATTCCGAACCGTTGAACGTTCATCATTGTTCTTTTTACGAAACAGCGCACAATAGAATAATGGCTGCATGCGCAGGGAAAGTCGAACCGAACTCGATCTGGCCCGTGCATTCTCGATAACCTGACGAGGAAACACACGGCTCTGCTTCACGCTGCGAATGAGTGGGCAGTGAAAAAACATATGAGTACGTATGGCATCGTTATTGAAGCGTACTAGTTAGAAAAAAGAAAAAAAAAGGAAAAAATCCAAGGATAGAGCTTGGGTCGTGAAGGACGCGGATTACCTACTTTAAGTTAATGAATAAACTGATCGTTCTTACGTCGTTGTAAGCAATTTTTGTTTTATCTTTGTATTCTTTAAGTTGGCAGATCGTACATCTTTTTTGCTTCGTGACCTGCGAAGTTTTCGTGACGATGGTTGTCGTTTTCCTGTAAAGTGTTTCCTTCTAAAAGTACAATCTGCTCCAAGCGATTCTTCTGATCTTATTTTCTTAACCGTACTGCTAAGCGAGGAGGCGGCGTTGCAATTTTAGCATCTAGGAATACTGTTTGTGAACAGGGAACCACGTGCTACCCGTAACCCTACACAGACAAACTCATGTTTACAAGCAAAGCGGAGCGCCCCTAGCGGACGCCACCGGTGCTGCGCATGCGCTTTGGAGGGTAGGCAAGAAACTCGCCGTTACCCATGAACAGACCATTGGAATGCGATGTTATCGGCGTCGGTGTGAGTCCCCCTGCTCTTTTTCGAATTGTTGTTGATTGAAGGTCTTCCTGGAAATGTCGGATTAATCAAGCGGCCTCAGCGAAGCTGACAAGGCTTGTTACATCGCAAAACTTCATGTGAAAGATGCGGCGATTTATTCCGTGTGGACACCGTAGAATGGACGCTAAAGCCTGATTTGCGCGATGAGATTCTGCTCGCTATTTTCAGTCATGACGTCGCTTGGGCTGCAAAAACGTAAACCGTGGCTGAGATGATCGACGTCGATACTGAAAATCTCAAGCAGAATCGGAACAAGAGAATCAGGCGTAGCAAGTCGGTGATGGCCACTGGTAACAATTATCAACATCTTCTTGTATCTACTACTTTTACCGAGCCTACTTGCCCCAACCAACCGACAAACTTAAAAGTCTTTTGAGGCCTCCACTTCCTTCTTATCAAAAGTTTTGGGTCAACGTTTGGTCTACGGGCACTGACGTTAAAACGAGCAGACGACGACAAGGAGAAACATTTGAAAGAGCAGACGACAGTGCGAAAGTTCAGGCGGTGGTTTGAATTTCAAGGCGCACTGAACGTAGAACGCAGGTGGTTTGTACAACTTGGCGGTTTTCCCGTGTTCATATTGGAACAAAACAAATAAATCTGACGACCACAAGCATCCGTGAATTTGACCCAAAGTTTTTCCCGCACCAGCAATCGTGCTCCGACGGCGTCTAGTTTTTTTTTTTTCTTGACCCCTATTTATGTTCTCGGACGAACCGAGTGAGCAAGCAGAAGACGCATGAAAACTGCCCTTCAAACCGTTCCAGACTCTTTTGGTACAGCCCTATTCGAGGCGTTTCAACGAGAAGGCAGGTTTTTGTCTGGTTTTGTCCAAAACAACACAGAAATGTACCTGGTCAACCTGCGAAGCTAAGTGCGTTCCTTTTTTTTTTCTTACTATATTTTTTTGGGTTTAAGGGATTGAACTTGTATTTAAATTACCCTTTTTTCATTTATCTTTCTGAAATTTAGTATACTGATGTATTTCTCAGTGGTGAAATCAAATATGGAATTAGTTTTCAGATACCTTTACTAGATCCTTAGTTATCAATAAATTTGTAACTTTAATTAGGTCCTTCTCAGTGTAACATTCTTCAAATTACATACTTTTTTTATAGAATTGCATTTACTAAGACATGCTTTGGGCAGTGATGCAATTTTTGTTGCTTTATATGTCATACAATAATTTTAATTACCTAGTCTAAAAAAGATATAGCCTCCCGTTTTCTGCAACTTGATTGCAAATGTTTTTTAAGAATGTAATATCATTAAATCAGGCTTAAAATAGCATCACCGCACCAAAAATGTCTTGGTAAACGCAATTTTTTTAAACAATTCTGATATATTCTGAAGAATTTTATGGTAACGACCCGAAAAAAGGACCTAAATGAAGTGAGAAATTTATTGATAACTCAGGATCTGAGAAAGCTATCGGAAAACTTATTGCATATTTGAAATCGCCTTTGAGAAATACTTCAGTATACTATATTTTAGCACGATAAATAAAACAAAATTAAAAAGAAGAGGCCAGATTCATGAAATGATCTTCGCCAAAAATGTGCCTAAGACAAAACGTAAGAACAAGTTTGTATTCACAAAATGAAATTATCGTAACTTTTGCGTGCAGGTTACGATGGAATCCCATGACAGCTCCGGAGCTGTCTTATGCATTTTTTTTACGATCAAATCAACATGGCCGACAGCGTCGCTCAGTTACTTGGCCGTGATGACCAACGGAGATTTATTTTTCTGCGTGAGCTTCTCACGCGTCCCGACTTCAAGCAGCAAGAAAAAAAGAAAGAAGTATTTGAAACCGACCACGACAAACATGAACGCTGGATCCGCGAACACCTGGGAAAAGCTCCGACGATAGCGATCCCGCCGACCAAGCGAGCTCGGCAGAATATAGGCCCAGCCGGCACTCCAACCTGCTCCGACGGTCCTTGGCCAAGACCATCTGCCCACGACCGGCTGCTGGCTGAATGGAATGTACTCGCGCGACCCTTGCGATTCATTCCCGTATTAATAGTTTGATCGCTGAACTGAATTTTAGATTAAGAGGTCAATTTATTCCTCTTGTCTTCTTGTTTTCCGAGGCAACTGTGACGAACGGTGTCGTAGAAAAGGGACTCTCATCGATTCTACCTCCTTGTTTTGTGTGATATAGAGCTCAAATAAACGCCATATGGATTACCTTCGCAACACGCTATGTACACTTTGTAATTGGTATGCCATTTTTATTCTGACATGACGGTACGTCTACACGATGCCGGTCCAACCTTTCTTTGGCGAGTGTCACGTCAGTATCGAGTTGCAATCGTAAAATATCGGTCCCGAAGCGCTTACCAAGGCGCGGTTTAACAGCGCGAAGCCAGCACGTCGATCCAACGCGCGCGTCCGCTTCGAGTGCTGTGAAGAGGTATTTACGTGGCCCATACTGACACTCTCGTAGTTAAAACCAAAGCGTTGTTCAAGCGTATCTTCTTTAACGTCGGCTCGATTCTGATTCCCCGAGGCCACGAAAAACGCCGCGGCGATTTGTTTCTATCTACGCCCCTTTGCAAACGACTGGCACGGGCCGTCTTCATTTAACAATGATGACAGTTGTGTTGACTTCGTAGCGATTAAGTTCGTAGCATTCAACGAAGGCGGTTGTCCCGGCCTCGGCATTCGGGCGCGTTTAAATCGTCTTAGGGTCGACGTATCACTGCACGGATACGAATCCCAGACAAAGGGAGGTGGAAATGCCATTTGTGTTAGTCATAAAAAATCCTCATGCTCCGACCTGCTCCGAACCATGCCGAGCTCTTCGATTGATTATTCGTGTTGCCAAACACGCCGTCACCATAGCAACAGCCCGCTCTCGCGGGGATCGGGAGCTTGCGTTACATCGGAAGTTCTAGTTTTTCCGTATGAGAATGTCGCTTTTCTCCTCTCACTTAAGAACGCGTTCGTAAATACCGATTTCTCATCTTCTTGCCTTGTTCTTAACTTACGAACTTCTTAGCTAATTTGTTTAACCTATGAGTTCTTTGTGAATCTGGCCTCAGCACCTTTCCTTAAAGGTGTCATGGTGTAATGGCTGCACGTTTAAATACGCTAGGGTTAGGGAGTTAGTCTAGGCGGCCGGGCGAGCCTTTGGAAGGTAGAGTAGCGTCGGTCTTTTTGTAGTTTATTGGCGGGTCTTTTTTGTTTGTGATAGAAGCGCGAGTTTTCGAGTAGCTAGGCCAGTGCTTTCCAACTCATTTGAGTGTGGGGGTCAGATATATCCCATACCTGAAAGGTCGAGGGCCAACGTAAGACATGTGTGTGGGCGGGGGGGAGAGGGGGGGCGGGGGGGGGGGTTCTGGAGACCTCGTGCTTTATGCTTTTTTAAACTCAAAATCTTGCCAGTGACCTCTTTAGATTTGATTTGCTTATAAGACTACTTTGGGCCCTGACCTGATGTGGTAACGATAAAAATGACACCGCTCCGCCAAAGTGCTGACATTTTTAATAAAAGAAGTACACTGTCGTTCCCGTTGCTCAAGTTACCCAGGAATTAACCAAACTCAACATGTCTCTAAAAACAATCAGTTGATATGACAGTTGTTGTTTTCCTTGCGATTTTTACTACAACACTCGGACATATAGTTTTCTTTTAATGTTGTTATCTTTTTGAAGGCGAAAATTCTGAGCTCGTAGCTTTATCTTTGCCAGTTGCTCCTGCTGATCGAGAGTTCGCGCAGCCGAAATGCACCCTCCAACGAATAGCTTGCGCTTGCAGCCTAGTAGCGGAGTTATTGTACATTACAAAAGTCTGGGAACCAAAATACAAAGCGAAACGAAAGGCAAATGAACATAGATAAGTATAAACTATGTGAATACGTTAAGAGAGCAGGGCTACTTTTCGAGCGAAAATGAATCG